CCATGAATTAGATACAAACAGACTACACATTTCTTCATGTGTTTTCTATTTGCGTTTATTAATGTAAACTATTTGCAAACAAAGCTCAGATCATAGATTGCTTGTGAACTTTTTCTCCCTTACTTTGCCCCTCAATATGTGAGACTTGTGATTCAATAGCATGCCTGTTTCTTTTGGTTAAGCTTGGTTTAACTTTTATTAATAAACTTTTCTTTCATCCAAAGAGTGAAATTCACTCCTGTCCAGAGGACCAGCAGAAATCCCATGCATCTCTTGTGTCTTTCTTAGGCCTTGGTTTATGACGGCCGTGAATCACCAAAACAGCCCACATTCTTTAAGCTGTGCATTTAAAAATTTGAAGACTTCAGTACTGTGTATACCTAATACTGACCCCCTGTGGAAGGCTGAATTGCAACCTACAAGAAATTCTGTCATTAAATACATCTTTTTTTTTATGCATTTGAAATATACTTTCCATGCATATTTATACAACCCAACTGTCTGATGAGTATTGGCAAAAAGAGCAAATTGCTTAACCATATCTGGAACTTTCCAACATATTCAGATATTTGTTCACCATATAGCTAGTGGGGACCACATTGTGATCCCTGTTGGTAATACCTGTGAACTCTGTTAACATCCCAAACCACAATTTTGACCCTAGAAATTGACCAACTGTAACCAGTCATAATGGCTTCTGACCAAAGTACACAAGTCATCCTTAGGACCAACATTGAAAACCCTTCAAGGTTTACAGACACTACTGTCAATGGCAAAAAAAAAAAAAATTGTAAATCCAGGTAAGAACATCCAGTCTGATATCTTGTGCTTACTAGAGACACACTGAGGACCTCATAATAACCATAACCATCCTTCAATACTTGGAATGACTATGGCAATTGAAAGACCACACAACCAATTTGGAAGTCCCATATTTGTTGAAAGGGGAACTGTCATAGTTTCTACAGCAAAGACTGAAGAAAACAACATTGAAATCCTGACTATCAAATTCAATGGAATCGCAACCATTTCAGTCTACAAACTACCTCACACAAGTTTCACCTTTACAGATACACCAGGGATCACTCAAAATAAACCACTGATGATCATGGGTGACTTGAACAGCTACAGCATGCAACTGGGCTACAATGAGACCAATAAAGATAGTGAAGCAGTACAAGCTTGGTCAGATGCATACCAGTTACGTTTGTTCTATGACCCAAAGTTACTTAAATCATTCAAAAGCAGCTACTGGAAATGAGGATACAATACGGACCTTATATTCATCAGCAACACTATGGCTGGGCTAAGTAATAAAATGGCATTGGACCCTATCCCACATTCCCAACATCAACTAATTGCATTCAGATCAAAGTTGCAGTAACACCTATAACAGTGCCATCCAGCTGACATTTCAACCTTAAAGGCTATGGACAGATATTCAAAAAGCATGAGCTTGCACAGATTCAATCTTTTTAGGTTAGTCTAAAGGTGAACTGAGGGGGGAAGGGAGGCATGGTAGACCTGAGTATGACTGAAGAGGGGTTTAAACCCCCACCTTGGTCTGCAGGGTTCAGAGGGTTGGGGAAGAGGGTGTCTGACCACATGAGGGTACGGCCAGACCCCGGTGGTGGGGAGGAGGCAGAGAGTCCTGCTTGCTGCAGCAGCTCCCTGACAGCCAGGAGCAATCCAGGCACACAGCTCTGTTGCCTGGCCCTGGAGGGGGACTCGTCCCCTGCCTCCTCCCTCCCTGCTGCTGCAGAGCGGGGAGGGGGGCTCTGTGTGGTGCTGCCCAGCCTAGGTGCAGGGAGCAGCTGTCACTAAGCTGAAGCCACTAGGGAGGGCCTTGCTCCTGCTGCCCAGACTGGCTCTGTTCAGCCCCGGGTGAGGCATCCATGAGGACTAACTAGGCTTGGAGGATATTCAAGTTAAAGATATAGTGTGTTGCATCATAACTAGGCAGAAGCTAGAGCAGAAATGATACATAAATTGTCATACCCTCTATAAATCTACAAATATACCCTACATTTGCAATGCTTTTATTTAAACTCTCCCCTCCTACTCTACTGATGCAGTGCACTGAAAAAACTGTTTTGTAAATCACTGGAACAGTGACTTCTAAAACAAATATTACAGAGTATTCACATAAAACAATTTTCAAATGCATAATTATAAGCAATTGCATTATCATTAAAAGTCCCTAATCAGTATAATTGAAACATCCCTGTTATGAATTGGGACTCTTTCTGAATAAAATCCTGATTTTGAGAATTACACTTCTAGTCAGGGACTAGGCTTGAAGTCTGTGTGTCTAACCAGAACACTGTAAAACTGTAGCCTTGAATACTCAACACAATATTTGCAGTGAACATGCTTAAATATGTTTGCATAAAATAGGCATCCAATAATTTCAAACAAACTAATGTAAACAATCTGTTCATAGTTACTTCTTGAATACAAACTATCAGAAATTACTAAACTGAGTATACTTTCTCTACCTTTAGTGAGTGGCAGGATGGTGAGGGGTAAGCTTGCAGTGCTACCCCCACTGTTAGATCACTTTTCTATATGCACAGCATATAGAGACGCATCCAGTTCTGTGTCAAGGACAAGGCACAGATTGGTTTTTACACTACTACTCCAATTTCCATTTTATAGTATTGTCATCTGCCCTGTTTATAAACTATAGCATATTAGGTCATGCACTTCCCTTCTATGAACCTACTTTAGTGTAGGGTTAAAATGTTTTCTGGTATCTCCAGAAATTCAGTGTTCACTGTTCAAGAGATTAAACTTCAGGATCTAAATTGCTTGAACAATTTGAAATCTGTTACAAAGTATATCAGGGAACTATGGCTAAATATTAAAGTGCCCCAGGTGTCTGGAGCAGCATTGACTGCCTTATATTTAACTCTATCAATTTCCTGTTGTGTTCAACCATAGAGCGCAGTTGTAGATGTTCTTATTTTAGTATAATAGCGCATCTTTTTTCCTTCATCTAATCCACAGAATTTTGGCATAGAGGGGAAACACTGCATTTCATCTGGGAATACCACTTTCCCACTAGCAACCCTGAACATTTTTCTATCTCACTAAGTAATAAAATGAAAAAAACCAAAACGTTATTATCTTTTTTCGAAGTCATTTAGACGAAAGCATTATATGCAGCTAGTAAGAAATGGTGAGAAACTACTAACTGCAAACAGAGCTTTTTATCCCTTTCTCTTTGGTTCAGTTCTGGCCAGATTTTTAGTCATAAACATCTTGTCTATACTTGGTGGCTGTATTAGGTTAGGATTCTGAATCTGATCCCTTTTGGACATGGGCTTGGGAATACTAAGCTACAGGTCAAGTAACTGGAACATGTAAGCATGAACTAGGTTTGCTGAGGAATATTTAAAAGGCAACTTACTGCTCAATCAGGAGAGACCTGTTGTGGAGACTTCCTGGAGACTGGCAGAGGGACAGTAGCCTGTGGAAAAGCAAAGAGGATGTGGCTTTCTTTATACTAGAGTTACCTTATCTCCACTGTGGCACCATTTGTAGCTTGCCTGAGCAGGCAAAGAGCTTTAAGTTACCTTTGCATCCTCCCCTGTTACCTCAGCCAAAGATTTACCGCTAAAGGGTTCCACTAAAAACAAGAATAAAAAAGTGAAGGATTTTCAAAAGAGTTCGGAACTAAACTGTCTTCACTTCCATTAGGGACAATGGTAATACACTTGATAGAATCAGGACTAAGTCACTGTTATTCCTTTTGGAAAATCCCACCTAAATACCCTGGAAAACTTCAGAATTGTTTATTTTCAGTCATACAGAAAAGCAAACCTGGTTTTGAACGGTTCAGCCATTCTTGTAAATCAGTAACTCATTGCATTGTAGTTAACAAGAAGTTTACATGGTGAACAGAAAATTACATTACTTGCATTCCTGTGCAGCTTGAAGGAAGTCATTGAAAAAACATCTTACAATTGAAACAATAACTGCTCCTAATACACTTCTGAAAGTTGCAGTGCTGGGCACAGGTATAATAAAGCAGCCACTGATTAATTCATTTGGTGCTCAGTGAAACAATTTTAATCATGATGAACTAATGTGATTTTAATGGGAATGTCATAAGTACCCCTATGCAAATTCTATTTTAATGTACCAATTAACTGTACTATGATTCCTCCAAATGAGGTAACTCACAATGCAGAGCTAGAGCTAGTGCAGTGATCCATTATGAGAGTGCGGACTTTAAATGGGTACACGCCTTTGGCAGGATGTTCCTGGCTTTCCCTAGGAAAGGGTGTGTATGTGTATAAGGTGGTACAGATATAGGCTGCTGAAAGATGTGAAAACAAAACAAAACAGTGCTTTACCAGAAGAGGAAGTGCGTTAGTTTGATCTGGCTCTCCATCGTCTGTATAGATCAGGTGCTTCAGTGGGACTTTTTGGCACATTTATCTAAAGTTGATTCAATCAGCTATTAGATAAAAGTTCCAGAAAGCCCCGCTGAAGCACCCAATCTGTACAGAAGTTGAGTGAGCTGGGTCAAGCTAATGCACTGATTCTTCTGGGCGTGTGCTGTGCTTTGTGGAGGGGCACACTGAGCTGAAAGTAAAGTGTTGTTTTGCCTTTCTTTTCACGTCTTTAAGCAGCCTCAATGATTAGCTCGCACTTTTAGCAGAAATGTATATAACCAACCAAATTGAATGGGTGCATCAACATGAGGTGTTTACTGTGCAGTTGACTAACTGTGCAGTAAATCATCATCAGTGTCTACACGTGCCCCCCTATTATGGCACACAAAACTAATAAACTGCACAACAGGTTAGGACATGTAAATAAAAGTCTTAACCCGTTGTGGAGTTTTTTCGTTCACAGCAGTGCATGTGTAGACACTGCCCTGGCTGACTGGGGCACAGGGTGTTTCAGTGCATGGTTATTCAGCAGGCAGCCCCCACGCTGAAGCATCCTCATGACCCAGCTAGCCACTGTGCAACATGTGGAGTCCTGTTGAAGCAGCCACCCCAGTGCTAGCCCTGTGCTGAAACACCCTCATACCTCAGCGAGCCCCATTGCAGCATGTGGAGCCCTGCTGGAGCAGCCCTGGGCTGCCAGACTGACCTTCTGGGTCCCTGTGTCAGCCCAGGATGCTATGGCTGGGCTCCATGTGCTTTGCACAAATAAACTCCAGAGATATATGCTCTGGAGTTTATTTGTGCACATTAATCGCATGTATAGATGCGCCCAGTGTGTGTGAAGAAGGGGACTAGATGAAAGTCAAACTGGAACGGACCCCACGAGACCAGCCCCCTGCTCAAGGCAAGATCATCCTTGACTAAACAATCACAGACTCAGACATGTGACTCCCCAATTTGCTCTTGAAAAGTTCCAAGGATGGAGATTCCACAACTTCTCTAGGGCTAGGGACAGAAGTTACATATAAACCGGTTTAAGTGATTGGAAACTGGTTTAAACCTGTAACAGACCAGAAGTTTGTTGAACATAAACTGCTTAAAAAATGGCCAAAATTGGTTCAAGATAAACCTGGTTAGATGTAGTACAGGAAACCCTCGGTATTCATGGATTATGCATTTGCGGTTTCAAATATTTGCGAATGCTGAACCTGAATTTTAAATATACTTTAAATATTTACCGGAGCTCCTTGGGAGCTCCGCGCTTGCTGCTGCCGGGCTCCTGTTGCTGCCACCATGCTCCTGCTGGAGCCATGCCCCACCCCCAGCCGCTGGGGGCGCTGCATTCATGAACCTATTTGTGGATTTCACCATTTGTGGGGATCATAGGAACATATCCCGCACAAATGGTGAGGGTCGCCTGTATCAGCCTTAATTGGTTTAGCACAAACTGGTTTATGGAACTTCTGCCCCAGATCCCTTCCTGGTTCAAGCTAACTCGCAGTCCCCCAGCATCCCAGGATGCTTTGCATCCCTGAGTTATGCCACCTGCTGCAGTGGAGCAGGGATTGTCTCACTCCTCTGCTCCCTAGCCTGCTTCCTGCCTGAATCCATCGGCCCATAGGAATGGGGCAGGGCAGGGGAACAGACCCCTAGACCCCCTAGCCAGGTTCTACAAAGCACATGGGGTATGGAAAGACCCTGAGGTTGAGGCTTTTCAACCCTTGGAAGCCTCCCCCCTCCCCACTGTGAGGGCAGCCCAGGGAGGTCAGGGAATTTCCCACCTCCCCCTCTCCAGCAGAGCTGTATGTCTTAGCTACTGCCACAGGAGGGAGGGGGACAGAGTTCTCAAGGCCCCAGGGATGTGGGCACCAGGGAGCCACCCACCTCAGGGGGCTTCCTTCACCCCAGCTGGGGGTCCCCTAGCCAGGCAGCCTTGGGGAGCTGAGAGGAACTCCCTTCCCACCTGCTGGTTGCTTCAGCCCCTGCCACAAGAGAGGCAGAGAAGGAGTCCTCCAGGCTGTGCCAGGTGCCCAGCATGGGAGCACTGGGGAGCCCCTGCCTGGGGGGCTTCTCCCCACCCCAGCCCAGGGCCTCCCAGCCTGGGGCAGCCCCATGGAGCTAAGGGGAATTTTCCCCCTCACAAACCTGAGAGCTGCTTGCTTTAGCCCCTGTGAGTCTCAGGGACAACCTAAGGCAGCCTCAGGGAGCAGAGGGAAATTCTTCTGCTCCTCTACAGCTTGGTTTGCCTCAGCTGCAGCAAGTCTGAGGCAAAACTAGTTGTGGGGGAGCAGAAGAATTTCCCTCCAGTCCCAGAGGCTACCCCAGGTTGCCTCTGAGACTCACAGCAGCTAAGTCAAACAGTTGTGGGGTTTGGGAGGGGAAAAATTTCCTGCATTCCCTGGGGCTGTCCTGGGCTAGGGGACCCTGGGCTAGGGTGGGGGGAATCCCCCCAAGGCAGGGACTCCCGGGTGCCCCCATACTTGGTTGCATGGGCAAGCACCTGGCCTGGAGGACTCCTCCCTCCCTCTTGTGGCAGGGGCTGAAGCAATCAGCAGGTGGGAAGGGGGAGGGAGGGGATTCTCCTCAGCTCCCAGGGCTGCCTGGGTTGGGGACCCCAAGCTGGGGGAAATCCCTTGAAGAGGAGGATCCCCCAAAGTGGGCCAGCACCCAGACAGGGGGCTCCTTAACCCCCTGTGGGGGGGATAGTAGGGGACTGGGGGCATGTATTGGAGAGCCAGTCAGGGACACTTGGCTAGGCTGGCTGCGAGACATGCTCTAGACAGGCCTCCTCCTGCCTTTTCCAATTGAAAACTGAATGTCAGTTCAGTTGGTGATCTGTTCAACCTATGTAGCTTAGAGGAAGTTGCCTAGGTAGAATTGATTCTGCCTCTGGCTTTTGTACTGTCTGTACTTATCCCAGGTAATATGTTCTAGTGCCTGACCACTCTCATAGTCAGAATATTTCCCTAAATCTCCAACCTAATTTTCCCCATTGCTTCTGGTCCTGTCTCTTAGGGCCACGCAGAAAAGCCCATCCCCATCCTCTCTATAATTGCCCTTCAGGTTTGAAAACTTTCCTGTCTCAGTCTTTTCTTCTCCAGACTACGTAACCATATTTCTTTCAGCTTTTCCTCACAAGTCTAGTTCCCAGGGCTCTAATAATTTTGTTGTTCTGTGCTGAAGTCTTTCTAATCTGTCCATATCCTCCTTGAAGTGTGGGGCCCAAAACTGGACACACTACTCCAAGTGAAGGTTTGCCAGTGCTTAATAGAGTGGAAGAATCACTTTGTCTGATTTGCAAGTGACACTCCTGTTGATGCAACCCAGTATGCTGTTGCCTTTTTTTTGCAACAAGAGCACATGGTTAGCTCAGACCATTCAGCTTATGGTCTATTGTCTAGACATAGACATATGTTACCTGTGTTTTAACATGGTTCTGATGTAACCTAGAGCTCTGATAAACATTTAGGAGGAGGACTCAAAGTAGCCTGAAATTTATTAATTGCTTTTTTCAGTCTGCATTCTTCTCTATAGAGCTTTCTAGAGGCTTCTTACTAAAACAACTTATGTAGTAGCATTGCCCCACAAAATATCCTTCAGAAATTTCAGAGAACTGGGAAATCTAAGATCAGGAGTTCTACAGGCTTCTCTTCCTCGTAATGCTAGCAGGTGATAATAATTTAGTGCCCTTTAAAAACCCATATTTTTGTATTCCATAGTCTGGTGATCTAAGCTATGCATAGTATGCAGGACTGAGAGTTCCAAAGCTATCATTCATGTCTGGTTGCACAACTAAGTTCCCTCACTGGCTTTGGTAAACTCAGCTAATATAAGACCCTTATCCCATCCTCTTAGAAAGATTGTACTACATCTATCTGCTTGGCCATTAAATGGTGTACACACTGCTACATAAATTGTGTGATTCACAGTTCCTATGGCATGTATTCTTCTTCCATGGGTGTTCCACAGAGGAAAACAATTTATCCTGATGCCCACAGTTATGGTTAGTCCTTTACTTCAAAGTGACATAAGTTTATGCTATCAGTTGAGGGTTCAAAACCTAATGAGATAGGGATTACAGGTTTTCCTTGCCCACCACAGTTTTCCTAACCACAGTTTTCATTATCCATGGTTAATATTGTATATACCATTTTGCCTACCACCGTATACAGTTTTGAGTAACCACAGTTTTCTGTGGTTACTCATAGGCAGAAGGAGGGAAAAAAATTTGGGGAGGCTGAGCACAGGCCCCAGCTGGGTTGGCTGATGCAGCAGTCCCTTTACACCATGCAGCTCCATCCCCATTACACCATTCCCACAGTGTACTCATGGGGCTCCAACCCCTTTACACTGTTCCCA